ACTCTTGGCAATATTTACACATAACTTCAGCTTCAGGGAAAAGTGTCTTGACTGTTACTGAAGACCAATTCTGGGAGGCAGGGAAAACATGGGGCCTCTGGCTATATGTTTTAGAACTGGACGATGACAATGAGTTTACTGTTCAATGGTCTCAGCCCAAGCAACCAAAATTTTCAATGGTCATCAATAAGGTTATCAGCCCAATAATCTATCTTGGGTGCCCTCACCCAAGAGAGGACTGGCCACCTCTCACTATGTCAACCTACTTGTTAAGACATCTAAAGAAAGCTGTATCTTGAAATTCTTGACAGTACCTTCAAGGTCCTAAGTGGAACTAACCCAAATGCTGCTTCTGACTGCTGGCTTTGCATTAAGCCTCGGCCCCCAAAACCATGTAGGCATAGACATCCTTTCTTCTCAGGGAAAGCAGCCTTCTGATATCAGAAAAATCACTGTTGATGAGCTGAAATCCCAGCAGTGCCCATGGGCCAAGCGTCTCCCTCTTTAATACAAGAACTCAAAGGAAAAGGTTCCTGTTTTCACTCAGAATATTATAGCTCCAGTAACTCAGCATATAAGGGATTTTGTAATTTGAGCATTCCGGTTTCCAGTTCAGATGCAGGGCATGTTTAACTTTGTAGGCCCTCTCCATGGGTTCTGGTTTACATGTAAGACAGGGTTGAAACCATGTGTCAACCTAGCCATACTGGTTTCTACCCCAGACCTGTGCACCCTTGTGGACTTAACTTCCCCAGGTCTCCTACTGAGCCCTGACTCATTAGTGTTGTTGGTGTTCTTTCTGTTCAGAAAGTTCTTGCCCATCCCAATATCCTCATGGATATCCCCTATATTTTCTAGGTTTCTGTGATTTTTTTTTTCTAGATTTGTTTGTTATGTATACAGTGTTCTACCTGTATGTATCCCAGCAGGCCAGAAAGAGGGCACCAGATCTCATAGATGGTTGTGAGCCACCATGTGGTTGCTGGGAATTGAACTCAGGACCTCTGGAACAACAGCCAGTGCTCTTAATCCCTGAGCCATCTTTCTAGCCCCAGTGTCTGGTTTTAAATTAGGTTTTTTGATCCATTTTGAATGTATTTTTGTACAACGTGAAAATTAAGAATCTTAATTTCATTCTGCTGAATCCAATTTTGCAAGCATGATTTGTTGAAAAAGACCCCCACCTTTTATTTTCCCTGAGAGTAATACAACACTCGGGTAATGACTTTATTTTTTCAGTTAACATGACCAGCTCACAGTGCAGCATAAGAAATCACAAAGTACAAATTCAAGGAAGGGAATGCCTTTTCTAAGTTAAAGTGAAATACAAGTGGAGTCAGAGAGAGGTGGTTTTTTTTTTTTTTTTTTGTTTTTTTTAGTTTGTTTTTTTTTTTTTTTTTTTGTTGTTGTTAGTTTGTTTTTGTTTTTTTTTTTTTGTTTTTGTTTTTGTTTTTCTGGTTTTTCGAGACAGGGTTTCTCCGTGAAGCTTTGGAGCCTATCCTGGCACTCGCTCTGGAGACCAGACTGGCCTCGAACTCACAGAGATCCACCTGCCTCAGCCTCCCGATGCTGGGATTAAAGGCGTGCTCCACCAACGCCCGGCTTCAGAGAGATGCTAATAATCGGTAATTTATTAGGGGAAAATTCTCACACAAGGGAACCAGTGACCAGGTTTGCACCCTGAGCAGGACATACCCAGAAATGCTTCCCAGTGTCGGCTCAGCCTAGCGAGAGAGCCACGTGCTGGCCTCCCCGGCTCTTAGACCCCTGCTACATACCTGTAGGCGTGGTCAGCGGTACCTGTAATCAGGGTTTCTCCCTACACTAAAGTCACAAAACTTTGGCAAATTAAAAATTCCCCTTTAGGAGTCATGTATCACCTTAGCGGTAATTCGCACTCCAAAATTACCATTTAAGTACCAAACCCAAACACTGGTTTCCAAGAGGGCAAGTTAGTTAATGTCATTTGAGATTATACAGTTTCTCTTTTTAAAGTAAGTTCCTCAGGCAGGTGGTTCCACTTCACAGCAGCAGGCAACTGTGTGGACTTGAGGGCGGCCGGCCTTTCTTCCAGAAAGTGTCCCAGTCTCAGACAGGTTCTATCTAGGACTTTATCTAAGGAGACTTGAAATCAACATCAATTTCTTCTAAGTACTTAAACAACAACAAACCAACCCGTGAATTGTTCACAGGAACACAAGACTCTCCATTCAGCTCCCTCAAGCCCTTCCTCCTCAGACGATCACTTTGATTTAGAAGCTCTCCGTCTTTTGAGCAAAACTCACAGCCTTACGCCAGCTCATTAAAATCAATAATAAACTCTAAGCAAAATAGCTGTATCTTTTAAATAACAAATAAATATGTCTGCTTGGAGAGTCGTGGGGGCCCTGTAGCTGCACACCAATCTCCATTGTCAATTTTTCCACCAATGCTGCTGCGGCCGCCATTGGTCTCCTTAGGCTTTTTCTGGGCGTTCAGTTTATGTATCTCCCATTCGACAGTGTTTGTCGTGAGCCCTTCAAGGTAGCTGCTGAGGCTGACCCCTTTTGAGGTGATGATGACTTTCTGGGTGAAGACAGTTATCTCTGGTTCCCCTGGGTGTGGCCTGTATGAGAGCCTCTCTTCTACTGAGACCATATTTGTGAATGAGACGTTGGTGGACTTGAGCTCCATTGTGTTCATTACCGGGTCACCCACAGAATGCTCCTGCACATAGGTTTTCATTCTTGCTGCACCCATAAGAGACTTCACAATGGAAAGCAGGCCACACTCTGTGCTGATGAGTCTGTGGCTCTGTAGCTCTCCAGAGGGATCAACCTGTCTGTCCAACACGTTAACATGTCCTTGGGTTCAAGGGGTTTGGGTATTTCTGCATTGTAGCCATGGTAACCATTTCCCATTGGTGATCAAAGACATGCTCCAAAGTCCA